TTACTCATGAAATTGGATTGTTGAGAATTACTCAGCACGGTTGGGAAAAAAACTTTATGGGAAGGTTGAAAGGTTTTTGCGCGACTTTTCTTGCTGTAAAATTCTCTTTTGCTTCGATAACCATCAGTGATTTCCCAAAATATAAATAAATTCCTCAATTTTGCTCGCCACAGAGTATTGTTATTGTGGTAGATTTATTCGAATCAGAGTCTTGGAATTTTCCAGATTTGTTGGACCCTTTTTTACGTACTCATAAAGCAAACTGTAGTTTTTCCCCCGGAGTAAACCCTAAATGTAACCATTTTCGATTATAGGAAGAAATCTTGATGTCCAGGAACCCCATTAATATGAGTGTTTTCAAAGTATAGCTTATTCCAATAAGTTTTGCCGTATATTTTACATTCAATAAGGATCCACTTGTAACTTTGCTGGTATACGGTAGGACACGGTAGGACTACGGTATAATGTGGCAGCCACTTAAAAGCTAGGTTGTCGCACTTCATCAGTAACCAATCTCGAAGGTTGTCAAAACCCACTGTTATGGATTCGCACTTCTTTTCTAACGGAGGGGGGGGGGGGGGGAGGTGGGGGCGGTAACAACCCTAAAAATTTTTTCCTAGAATTTTTTGACAAGCCTTTCAAAAATTTAGCAGGCATAGAATTGCGAAAATTTGGAATGAGGGGTAGTGACGACTACAGCCATGCTCCTGAAAAGAATTCTAAAAGGGGTACCTAGATTTCCAAAAATGAAAAATTATTTTATTAACTTGCAAGTGAAAACAAAATACTTGTGCACTTATGATGTAGGCTACTTGAAAATTCACGGATCATCTCGGGGGGGGGGGGGGGGAATGGATCAGCTATTCCTTTCCAGTTTATAAATTACGATACCCGTACAAAAATAACGAGTACGATAGAGGCTAAGCGTTCCAGCCATAAAAGTCCCCAGCCCACCTCCCCCTCTCCCCCCTCCTCCCCCAAACAGCCGTATCCATGCCAGCGCAGAGAGATTTTTTTTTCTTGAAGAGAACTTGTCGATGTCATTTTGAGCTTTTGATGCGAAGTGAAATCAAATCCGACTCGATTCCAGTTCCAGTTCACAACAAATCGAGCGATCCTCTCTTTGATATCCCGTCAAGAGTTCGTTTTTACGATTTTCACAAAACGTTTTTTTTCTCGGCTATCGATTCCGTGACGAACCGGTTACGATAACAATCATCTTTCCGGATTAACATAGGCATACGGCCATTCACTATTTGCATTTCTCCCACATATACACCCTATCTTTTCTATTTCAATACGATGAGTAAGGTTTGTTTATGCTCGAAAAGGGAATGGCCCTCTATGGGCCGGTTTGGTTTCCTTTTTTAATTGCCCATATACGTCAACGAACTTTCCAGATTCCATCTTTTATTCTGTCACATTTGCATATGGCTAGGATTCACTTTTGCGCAGTTCTCATTTCTTTGGCCTCTATAGAATTTTCTTTCTATAAAAGGGATCTAGGATCTAGGTTTCCGGGCTTCAGCTTGACCCAAAGACCTTAGCGATTGGGACAAACGGAACATTTATATGTGAAGTACCAATTATCGCAGATTGTAAGTGCTTTCTTACAGAAGTCATAAACATACGTTATATTCTTTAGAATGAATGCATTCATCGTAAATTGGGGGTTTCTGCAATGTCGCCTTCACATTTTTGGGATAATATATGGTTTTGTGCGTTTGTGTTCAAAACAGCTATGTAATTTCAAGGTTTCTGGTCCTTATCCAATCATAAGCAGTCGGGGTTCCCATTGGTTGCTTCCCATCATTCGGCTATCTCGCGAATGTTCCTGCTTCCGTTCTGTCGTTGTCTTCAGCAACATTTATCCAGTATCTTATTCATTTGTTCAATAATCAAATGCACAAGCAATTAATCATCCATGTATTCGCTGAACCTGCAAAGAATGGGTAGGTTTTTTTTTTCAATATTTTTGCAAGTCTAGAGTAAAGTTTTGATATCTGCAGTGATCAGTTAACATTAGCGAAAACTGGTCCCCAAGCTTTATGCATGCTACAAGCCAGCTTTACTTCCCGGGATTCCCATTTTTCTGTTCCTATTCGTGCAGGCACAGTATTTAACAATCTCACACAACCGGTGATCGGGCACTGTTTCACTTTTTTGAACAAGCTCCCGATAGGGAGATGGGCGCTCGTTTATCAGGGTACAACTTCACCCGGTCGAAATCGGGAAATGATAAATATTGCTCCAAATCAGTCGAATACTCATTCTTATTATAGTTTTACATTTTTTTTGAAATTTTTCAGGGACGTTTTAGGTTTTCTCTACTCACCGAAGAGCCTCGGAGAGGCCCCAGCCACCGGGAACTTCGTCTAAGAAACGAAAAAAACGGAACCTCTCTAAAAACATTTTTTCACCTTTTATTTTGAATTCCATAACTAATGCGAGTATAAATCTTCAATTTTCCATATAGATCAGTCCTTATGCTCATATGAGAGAAATTAGCGGAAGCTGTTCTCCAAGCTGAACTGATACCGAATTTTTTTGCTTTGCGTCGGGAACTGGTACTGATTTCGCTTTCACGATTCGAACAAATCATTTAATTCGATCAAATGCTCGAAGGGAATCATAACAAGGTATTATCAAATCGTACCATCTTTCCAGCAGCATCGCTGCTTCTTCTGCCCCCATACGAAGCCGATAAAAACCGTCAGCACGTCGTCCTAAGACGGATGTATCCACAATCGTTAGTGTTTTTTCTCAGAAAGCGCGCAACGCAACCATCGGACCGTATGTATGTTTCAGGGGGGGGGAGGGGAGGGGGAACAGTGTGTGTGTGAGTGTATGGATGAGAGAGTATGTGTCGTATTGGTTGGATCTGGTTTCTCGTCATCGCCCCCTACTTCTACACCCCCCCCCCTCCCTCCCCGACCACACATACGCACAACTGCACTTGAGTGAGTAGCCGCTCTCAGGGTATCCATGAGCGCGGGCGGGTGAGCGGCTATTTGCTTCCAGACATACTCGTTTTTTGCTTCTGGCGCTAGCGACTTCAAAGCCATCTAGCTATTAGCAGCTCGGGTGTGTTTTGCCATTCAACGATATGTGTGTGTACACTTGTTGTGATCGGATAGGACTGGACTATTCTGGGAACCTAGCTATAGCGCAGTTTCCCATGCCTTCGTACATATCGTATACGGTACTACATACATCACACTTCACCACAACTGTCATCTTCGAAAGGGGGGGGGGGTCCAGGGCTCGGCACAGTTAGTCGCCTTTTCGTTTTTTTTTGAGGATTTTTACGCTTGGGGTCAAAGGGGAATTTTAACGACATTTTTAAGATCAATGGGAACCTTGTACGATACTTTTTAAGATCAAAGGGTACTTCGTTTTGAAATCTCCCTGGTGCGATCTCGTGCAGAGCCCCGCGGGAGGGAGGGGGGGGGGGGGTCGCAAGAATTTTTCAAAATCTCTAATGTAGCACTCGGATGATATCAGCACCAAATAACATGTCGATAACATTTTCATAACTCACTCTAGGATGAAATGGAGAAGGCGAACCTTTCTTTAGATTCCTCTTTCAAAAAAAATTTGCTCACAGAATCCTCAGTTCTTCTTATAGTTCGTACAGTTATTTCCACTTAATTTCCACTTGTTGTTCGGGTGAATATTCTCCCTGAATTCATAAAAAAATCTTAAATTTACATTTAGCAAAGATACCAGCAGTTTGAATTGGAATGTAACGTAAGTCTTGAGGACGTGAGTTACATTTGATGTAAAGGTAACTCTATAAGATACTCCAAATTCTGTTGCTTTTCCAAATTTTTCAGAAAACACTCTATTCCTTATTTTTTTAGATTTCACGAATTTTCGGAAATCATTCCAATACGAAGGCAGTCTGGAAGCTTGATTTGTTCAGTGACGTAAACTGGAAACATGCCAAAAATAATTCAAAGGATTCTCACACAAATTCAAAAATTGGCTAGAACCTTACTCGCAACTAAACCACGAAAAATTTTCGAGAAACTTATCTGATTATTTTCCTTAGAATATAACAAACGTTTGTTACGATAGGGAGGATTAAGAAAATTCAAAAACTGGCTAGAACCTTACAAGCAACACTTAACCACGAAAGTTTTTTGGAAACTTATTCGATTTTTTCCTTCTTTACATGTAACAAATATTTCTCACAACCTAACAAAGGCGGCGTTTTGTGAATTAAGGAGGGCATAATTTTGAATTTTTGCTCTCTCCCCTTTCTTTTCCCTTCATCTCCACTCTCTCTGAAAAGGAATTTGCCGCAATGTCTGCAATCACTCCTTTGAAGTTCCCTTTTCATTCAACATTGCGTTCATCAGTGTTCCTCATGTTCAATTTTAAGTGTTCAGAATTCTGACTCAACACGAAAGAACTGTGCAATGTTGCTCTTGATCTCCTTTTTGATGTGAGTATGACACATTACCTATTATATCCAAACTGAGTTACTCATTTCTCCTTACATGTAACCTTAAGTATGTTACTTATTCGTTTTCTCTCGAACTTGAGCAGGTTCGCTGAATCATCTTCCTGTCCTGCTGATTATTCATTCAATTGCGCATTCGCTATTTAAGTCTATGTCCTGCTGAATAAAATTTCAGAAATGAGGAAATTCAACACATTTTCAACATATTCATGCGGTGTGTGAGCATGTTTTTTTTGAAAATCGTGTTGTTGTGTTATTTTCGTTTCATCTCCACCTCTAAGATTTTCAATATTTGCTTTGCAATTTTTGCTGAGCCGCTCCTTTCCTGCACGGGATTTCAAAACACTCGCCAAATACTGTTCTATGCCTTCTTAAGGCAGGACTATTCATTGTTGTTTCTCTCTCTTACCATGGAATTCATTACTATTTCCTCCCCAGATGTGATTTCTTTTCCTTTCTGCGCCTGACCGAAATGAGCTTGTTCGGCTGACTTGTTTGTCTTATAATCCTACCAATACGATTATCGTTGACCATGTCCGTGATTTCTCGAATTCCATCTATAAATCGGTCAATTACAGAATTTTGCGGTAGTGTTCTAAACCATCGTCAGTTAAAAAAGTGTGCGATACTGCGTTGCATCCGACAGGTATGGTGTATTCACGAGGATTTGCGCGAAAATGCAAAAAATCAATTATTGATTTTTCAGGATGACCAAGCAGACGTGTCATAGATGCGGCAAACAAGTCTATCCAACCGATAAAGTTGGTCCATTAAAAGACTCGACGTTTTTTCATCAAGGTGAGACTGTCAATTATCGATTTTTGAATCAATCGATTATCGATTATCTTAACGCATTATTCGCTCAGTTATTGTTTTTAGGCTGTTTTAAGTGTTATATATGTGGAACAAGATTAGCTCTCAAGACATACTGTAACAATCGTAGTGATCAGAATGATAAGGTGAGTAGCTGATGTTTATTCTAAAGCCATTCCATTTTGATAGTAAAAGTAATTGACAGAATCTTAATTTCAGTAACATTCAATAAAATCAATAAAATTCCAAAAAATCATTTTTGCGCCCGCCCTTCAAAAATGTATTCAAATGTGTTCAAATGTGTATTTATTTCATTGCTTTGAACTTGTGCGGGCAAAGAGTGGTTTTTTCCATACAATTTCGCACATTATTGGGACTTGTCATGGGTCTTCTAATTTTTTTCAAGTTTATCGTCTATCTAATCCGCCGTCTTAATTTTTCGATACTTTTCGCCTTCTTTACAGGGCCCGGCACGAGGTGGGAAAACGGGGTTTTCCAAAACGAATTGCCCTTTGATCCCAATAAATTTTAGAATACCCCCTTGAGCCCAAAAATGACGTTTTGTGCTTGTGCGACGAGATTACCGGCCACACTTCGCCCAAAAGCGCTCAAAGGCGCCCAAATTGCTCAAATTCCTCAAATTACTCCTCAGCTGTATCAAGATAGGAAACAGGAAGAAAAATAAGCAAGAAAAATGATTAAGGAATGAGAAAATATCAAAGAAACGCAGTCATAGGAATGAGAGACGCCGTTCCCGCGCGTATCGATTGACTGGGGCGCGCTTTCCATCTTACAAGGAATGCTTGTTTAGTCGAAGTGGCCTTTCTTGATAAGATGTACTCCATATTGTAGAGCATAAAATGCTGATTCCAAATCTGCTTTCCGTATCTGCAGAACGTCTATGGACGAGAAGTTACGAGCGTTTTCTGGAGTCAAAAATTGAATGTGCAAGTGTGACAAAAATAACCGTAATACTTTTTCTAGCTCTTCAACGGAGCAGTGAAAATCATCAAAACACTTCACTTTGAAATTAATCTAAAATAAAAATTATACCACACTTGGTTACGTTATTTGAAGGCTAGTAAGATTTTAACAACTCATTTTATTCAAAATGCACATTCAATTTTTGGCTCCAGGAAACGCTCATAACTTCTCGTCCATAAACGTTCTGCAGACAAGGAAGACAGTTTTGGAATCAGCGTTTTATGCGCTTTAATATGGTATACAATTTCATTTGGAAAGGCCACTTCGACTAAACAAGCTTCCCTTGTTAGAAAGCTAGGCTGCTGATGCGATTTTGGGCTCTAACAAGGACAAGAGGAGGAGCTTCGGAACCAAAATTTCACCATGTAGTAAACTTTAGGTGTACAACAGATTTATGTAAAAATTTTGAAAAAATTATGTGAATTGAGAGTTTTGCCGACCTCAGGTGGGAACTAGGTCGGCAAATGCCGACCTAATTTGGAAATTAGTTAAGCAAACTCTTCATTCACATAAGTTTTTCATAATATTTCATACTTTATTACTTAGTCCTATTGCGCATATACACACCGAATCCCGCGCGATTTCGTTACCTCTGCGTTGCAAACGAGCCATTTTTCCATTTCTTTGGTAGCGCAAAATTTTCAGATAAAAGTTTGCCACAACCTTCAGTCACATAATTTTTCAATGAAACTCCTCAGTTAAGCCCTGCAAGCCCGTGTGCATTTACTTACCAAGTTTCATACCATATCGTTCATCTGCGCGTTTAAACGAGCCGTTTGAATTCACATCTTCATTTACCAGTTTTGCGAAATTCTCGGAAAAAATGCTAATTACTCGTTCCGTTCACATAAGTTTTACATAATTTTTCATACTATGTTTCCACTAGCCTTTCTTCGTTCGCATACAAAATTTGGTGTCATATCGTTACACATACATTGAGAACTAGTCATGCATGCTGTTACAAATAGCATCGCTTGGGCGACGTCGCGCGTGCGGCAATTAGCGACGGTGCGGTTTGACGCGCGCGAACTCCAGTGTTCGCCTGTTGAGGCACATAACATGTCAAGATAAGTAGCGAGCATGAACTGCCAATTTTTTTCCGGGGCTCCGCCCCGGACCCGGCAAAAACGATTTCCCCTTTGCTTTTTGGCCCCAAAACGATTTCCAGCTTGTCATTTGCCGACCTCGTGCCGGGCCCTGCTTCTTTATCAAGTATGTAACTGCCAAAAACCAGCCCTTCCTATTCTTGGCACTATTCCAAGCTAATTTTTGTTTAAAACTCTGCAAAATTCCTTATTTTTAAGACATCCATATCCTCCTACGAAGTAGTGACCTCATCGCGAGGAAGCGTTCCTCGTACTTAGCCTCACTCTTTGAAAATCGATTTCTCGAGAACCACGTACCGTATTTGCACAGAGCTTCACGCCAATTTCTGTGTACATTTCCAACGACGATAGCACTCGGCTATTATGAATAAATATTCGATTGCGGGGTAGACGATGGTCAGATGGGACGATTCGACGTGAAATTTAAGAGGGAAATCGATTTGGACGGCTGAAATCAGTGAAAATATTCGAGTGCTTGAGTGCTGTAGGTAATCAGTATCATGTTTTTTCAGAAGTTCTCTCACTCTGAATTCTGGCAAAACTTTTTGAAGCTTTTAGCGAGGGCCTAAAGTCTCCTCAAATGATATATCAATAACAGCATAATTTTCGAGTTTTCTTCATGATATAATGAAAAGAGTTGATTTTTGGGGTAAAAATAATTGCCAATTCAGAAGCTAAATATCAAAAATGTATATTTCTTCTAAGACTAGTTGACGCGCTTCAAATGATGAGTTATGAAAAGCTTAGCCTTTTTCATGATAGGTTCGCGCAAAAATTCTGTCGCACCATTTTCGAAATGTTTAGCTTTTGCAGATCTCAATTAAGTTCCATGGTTCTAATTTTTCATTGAAGAGAAATTCAGCTTTGTGACAGTTTTGAGCAGTTTTGAGCCGTTTTTCTTCAAAAACAACTTTCAAAATTGGTACCGAAGAAGAAAATTATTCATATCTTAATTTTTAGAATTGGTCGACTAGATATTAAATCTTACAGCATTTTTAAATGTAAGCAAAATGACGCGTGTGACTCTTTCTTTACGAGCAGAGTTGGCCATCGTACGACTCTACCCACATTCTGGTTTTCGAGAAGAAACAGTGGAACGGAAATCGCAATAAGATTTGGGAATAGTTGCTTTAGACTTTATATATACTCCACCAACATAGAAATGATAGCAAGCTTTTCAGGATTTTTCTGGAATTTTCTCAATAGTGGACAAAACATTTCTGCCGATCTTATATTTTGTCACCTTATACTTTCCCTCACTTGGTCACAATCTCATCAAATTTCATAAGTTTTATCTCATGAACTCATGTAAATGTTTTACGAAAGGTTCACTTCTGTTCGCTTCTCGTTCCGTAAGTATTGGTATTCATAAGCAATAAAAATAACTAGCTTCGTACGAGTTCACATTTGCGCGCATACGTGACACATACGATTTCTGCGTAACAGCATTGACATACTTTTGATGTACAACGTTTGACGTATACAATATGTTCGAGGGACGAGTTAGTACAGAGTTTGCGACCCCAAACATGCCCTGTTAAAGCGGGAAATTTCTTGGCTCGAAATTTACTTCTCTAAAAAAGACTATTTATGATCGATCATTCTGTTTAGGAGGTATACTGTGCCAACCATGTACCAATCGCTGGGCCACACGATTTACCGCCATCACGAAGCGAAAGTTCTCCGGTGGAGAATGGAAATGCAAAGACAACTAATGGATACAGAAGGTACAGCGTTGAAATTTGTTGGAAATAATGCTGAATTTCTTTGTTATTGGGGTGCTAATAGACTAACTTTCAAATATTCGAAACCTAACTTTGCTCATTCACAAAATTCTTCTACTTCAGAGATGCTGGTCTTGAAGATATGAAAATCGCTCATGCAATCAAAGCTACCCAAGTCGCTAAGCCATACCCCAAAATTGTACACAAAGGAGCACGATATGCTGTGGTGAGCTTCTATTTCTTGCGTTCCCAGAATTTCTGGCTTAACGCCAATTTTTATGCGAAAAGTCAGTCTTCATCTCTTCAGGACTATGATGCACAAACGCGCCTTGAACTGCTTCATCGACGAGCCGAAGATCAACTTTATGATTCATTCCAAAATCAGCGAACAAAAGAAAAAGAGCAGTTTGAATCGGAAACGAGGGTAAATTCTAAGCATGTCGTGTATCCCTCAGAATATAAAATGACCTTTGCAGGAAGAATGGGAACGCGCTTTGGCGGATTTTGCGCGAAAATATGAAAAAGGACAAGCCAATATCCGCAATAAAGATGATCTTATACGCCAATTAACGATCAAAAGAGAAAAAAAGCTCGAAACATTGCACTCTAAGCGAAGGGTGAGTTATTTTTTGAGCACTCTTGCCTGATTGGCCGCATACTTCTTGACCAATCACGGATGACCTAATGATTCAGGAGCGTGAGCGTCACCAAACCGCTGAGTTAGTTGACAGACAGGCACGAGAGATGCTGGATTTGTTCAAACAAGCACGATCAGTAAGTATAAACATCGACGTCGGATTAATCAATAAATCAATAATAATCTTCTGTTTAGGAACAACAGGCCGCGGACAGCTCGTACAGTAGTTCCGCCTACCCATCGACTCCGCCTCCACCGCAACCACCATCATGTAGCAAACGAGAAATTTATACCAGTACAGAGTACTTTTCGGTATGAATTGATTACGACACGTAGGAAATGGTGATTATTGATTTATCGATTGCAGTCGATCGATGAGGTAGCCATACATTGCGCTCGAAGTGAAATGACCACCTTTACTGATTTGATACGAGCGTTAACTAGTGGAGCAAGAAGTGATATCGATATGGCCAGGTATAAATAATGGGCGAGGTACAATTAGGGGCGTAGATGTAACCAAAATAAATTTTTACAGGGCCATTTATCGTTGGATAACCATCAAAAATCTGAACACAATGATTTTTGACGATTCTATCGAACATGACACTCCTATGGGTCTATTGCGTGGCATAAAATATGGTACAGAAAGTTATCATGTCCTATTCAAGCGATTATGCAGGTAAAAATATAAATTTCAAGCCACGCCCACTTTTGGTTTCATTACGCCTACTTTTCAGTTATGCTGGATTACACTGTGTGGTCATTAAAGGATATTCAAAATCAGCCGGTTATCAGCCTGGTTATTCATTTGATGACAATCGATTCAGGTAAATGGAATGCAAGTTTTTTTACGATTAGTGTTCGAAATGACGCAAATTTGCAGAAACACCTGGAATGCTGTTTATCTGGATGGATCATGGCGATTTGTACAATGTAATTGGGGAGCGCGCCATCTTGTGTGAGTACTTATTTTCTAAGAACTTAATCTACGATATCAATCAATACATCGATTGAATAATAGCATCTATTTGCAGTAACGCTAAAGACAGTGATAATGAAAATCGCAGTGATGGTAATTTACGCTATGAATATGATGATCATTATTTCATGACTGATCCTGAGGTACTCTTTGAAAAAATTTCAAGGGCTTGCCATAAACGAATTTTTATTTTAGGAATTTATTTACGAATTTCTACCTCATGACCCTGAATGGCAGCTGTTACCCCGTCCAATCACTTTGAAACAATTTGAGCGTATTCCATTTGTAAGAAGTCTTTTCTTCAAATATGGTCTGTCATTTGTGGATAACAGGCTTGAAAGCACGCTATATGTAAGTTCTTTCTGTTTACGAGTGTAGCAATTTGGACGTTTATACTTCAGACGGATAAAACTGGCGCGACATCAGTTGCGATCAGACTACCGGAAAAGTCTGGAGACACTCTGATTTTCCATTACAATCTCAAGTTCTTCGACTCGGAAGAAACTACCATCAATGGATTGTCATTGAAACGATTTGTTATGCAGTCAGTATCTAATGGGGTAAGGATAGTCGCCTAGTGGAAAATCGATATATTGATTTTTCTTACTGATTTTGATTTAAGATTGTTACATTCCGAGTTCATGCACCATCGACGAGACCTCTGTTATTGGATATTTTTGCTAATAGTGTTTCGTCTGCGCATTATTTGACTGGGCAACCAATAAAATTCAAGAGTGTCTGCAAATTTAAGGTACAGTGATGTCATAAAAAAATTTTTTTCCGAAAAATCGCACATACAAGCATGTATATATTCATAGTTACGCTTGTTATCAGCTTATTGATCGCTTTTCGGTTTTAATGAGATTTTATCTTGAAAATCAATAAGAATCCTGATAATACTTCGTACTGGTATTTTATTGATTTTATTGATTTATTACTGGTTTAGGTTGTCTGTGATTCACTGCAAGTGATTATGGTCCCACTGCCAGAATGCGCCTCAGGCGAATGGGGTCCAGCGAAGGCTACAAGATTATTTGGTCTGCGACCAGTATCGCATGTCGAGGCAATAATTAACGCTGGACGTAGTGTCGAGATCAGATTTAGGTACGTTCATTATTGATTTATCGATCGACCTGAGTTTTGAGAAAAAATTTTTAGAATGACCAAGCGTTTATGTGAAATTGTGGCTGCATTGCATCGTAATCGAACCGATGATCGCGCCTTACAAAACTGCTGCCGCACAAGTATAAAAGGAGAACAGGTTTGTACAATTGCCGCGCTCTGATTGGTGGACGATTGCGGCGATTGGTCCATAACATAGCCACGCCCACTTCTTCCATTGCAGGTATCGATCTTCATCGAATTTCCCGAAGAAGGTCAATATGGTTTGGATATCTATACACGGCAAGATGACCAGCTTGTAAATGGTCGACAATTACTTACACATTGTTGTAAATATCTAATCCATTCCAGAAATTGAAATTTTCTAATTCCATATGAACTAATTGATTGACTATTAATGTTACCTTTATTTTATCGCTTTGTTATGGCACAGTCATACGGGATTTTCAATATTTACTTTTCCTTTTCATTAATTTTGGGCAAACCATTCACTTGAAATATTTTTTAATTTTTTTTTCAAGCTATGTGTCCCTTTGGGAAATTTCGCTTACTTGCTTGCCAAGCCATTTTTTTCACAGCTTTGTCATATCTTCCTAGGACGTCCCTTCCTTGTAACCTTTACGCTAATTTCTCCCAATGAATAATCCTAAGATTGACTAATGTACATATACTCTCATGCATTTTTGTAACTGTACTCGGTGTATTTCATCATTTCTCCCAGTTTCTTTACGGTTCCTGTCACCGCATAGTCCTTGGATCAATCTAAGTGACTTGAACTGCTATTTTTAATATTTGCATCATAGATGTTACACTAAATTTTTCAGAACAGGGCTTTTTAGCAAATAATTGTTCTCACAGATTTTTTTCTCACTTATTGCTTAGAAATGAATAAATCTGGCTATAACTCTGAGGTGTTTTTTTGGCTTGATAGAGCATTTAGCACAACTACTGGAACAACAGTGTTCTTTATTAGAAAAGCTCCTATATATGCTTGAAAGAATAGCATTATCTGCTTCACTTTTCTGCACTCTGAAATCTGTGCAATTATTGTGCTAAACTAAATTTTCAAAATTTAACTTACATCGCTTGATTTCTCGGTTTTGACCGTCGTGGTAACGGTTTCGGTCCTGACAGTTTTAACTACGGTTCCGCCGGATTTTCCTGGATCTGCCTATAAGCAACAGGAAACGTTTTTATATCATAAAAAGTGAGAGCAACACCGCGAAAAAAAAGCTTGTAAAACTAGCCAATTTAGGAGTGGCAATGGCTGAAATTCTAAAATCAACGTGAAAAAAGAGATGAGGCAGAATACAGAACGGTACAGAACTGAACTAAATTACTGAAAATAATTTATCATTCTGCTAGGAGACTCGATTACTCTTTTGCGCCATAGCCTAACCAAGGTCGATTTCGTAATAACAAGTTCATCGAGTACGCATTTGCACCATTGTCTAAGCGAGTTTGATCATGAACTAACAAGTTTATACTTGCGATTTGATATAGTATTATTTGCTACTTACAAGGAAGGTCCGATTAGTCGAAGCAGCCTTCCCAAATGGGTCTTATACAACTTTGAAAAGCATCAAACGGTGATTTCAAATCTGATTTCATTATCTGCCGAACGCCTCTGCATGCCGAGTTATGAATATTTTCTTAGTGCGAAAAATGAAGCATAATTCAGGTGAAATCAAATTTTACGGTCTTTTCAGTGCTCAAATAGAGCAGTGTTGAGTACTCAGACAAATGACCGGAACTTCCGCAGAGCGCTTGCGGAAGTTCAGCCGGCTCACCTGCGGAAGTTCCGTAAGTTGCGGAAGTTGCGAAATGAGGTCCTGCGAAAGTTCCGGAGGATGCCAGCCACAACAGCAAAAGAGAACACCGAAGCGGGATTTGAACTCACTCTATTGACTGTGAGACCCAGCTACTATTCTCCACACTACGGCTGACATGTTCGATAATGCACTCTAGTTGTTGGCGAGGAACATCACGAGACAACACATTCAAAATCCTGCGGAAGTTCTGGCAGGCCAAAGGGCTGCGGGACCTCTAGCATTTTTCGGAATCTCCGCAGGATTTTGAAGAAGGTTCTCCACGGAACTTCACGATTAGTTTGGCATGAAAATCCCGCGGAACCGATTTTCAACGTTTTCACTCTGCAATAGTGAACAAAATCCTGCGAAACTTCTGCAAATTTGGCTTGCCCTGTGGAAGTTCTGGTGATTTGTCTGAGTAGTGTGAAGGTTTTGGATAGAAGGTATCGTTCAAATGGAGCGTTTTAATAATTAACTTGGACCACTTGAACAACTTGGAAGAATTTTGTTCCAATTATACATTCACTATTTAGACGCAAAAAACGCTCGTTCGTCATCCAGAGGCACCCGGCAGATAACGAAGACAGATTTGGAATCAACGTTCATAGTCGTATCAATTTTCATGGTAGGCCACTTTCAAACCTGACTTGATATGTGCAAAACGGACTTGAGTCTCCTAGTCAGAATGCATAGATTGAATACACGATCTTCTAGCGAAAGATAGAAAACACGTTCTTTCCAGCTGCGTGATGGTTTAAACTTTCTACATATTTATTTGGAACAAACCTTTGCACTTGCCATCTCTGAAGTTCGTGTCGATTCGTTGGCCAGCGTTGGGACTATAACGGCCGGTTTATGCTCATAGCTGCACTGAGTTTCGTAACCATCGAAACTTACCAACGGCGAGTTGGCCCGGTGCTGATCCTTCTGCTGGCTGAAAAGACGTAATTTTAACATATATTTTGGTCTAATTTTGTCATTCTCCCTATAGGAAGGGCAATCACAAAATTTACTAACAAGCTGCTAAGTGCTAACTACTGAGGCTGCGCTTAAAGGTGCCCATGTGCTAGCACCATGTGCGCAGGTCTAGCGTCGTGCCAGCGCGCTTCAGTGCCGTGCCGGAACAAGCTTGGACCTACCGCGAATCAATCAATCTAGCTCCTCTGGCACAGCTACGGCAGATGTTGACAGCAACTCTGAACGGAGCCTAAGGCACAAATTACTAAAAGTAACCTTGAGTGTTTTGTATGGAGGTGGAGCCGAGATAGCCATATTCGTCACAGGATTTACACCTTCCTGAAAATTTGTGATTTTGCAGCTCAACGTCAACGGGTAAAACATCACTCACGGCTTCTTTCTTTTTCTTTTTCTTCTTTTCTTCTTCGGTCTCTTTCTTTACCTCAATGTCAACCATCATTAGTTTCGATGGCAGATTATAATTACTGCGATGTTTGCTGAAAACACTCGTCTTCTTTAAGATTCGCTAATCGTGCTAAGAATCCTCTTACCATGCTAATGAAGCCTTTTTCTTTTGCTTTGCAGCTTTCTTATGCTTTTCTTTTGGCTGAATGACAATAGCAGTAGGTACTTGGGGTGCCTTTGACATCTTTTGCATTGCCATAATCAAACGAACAACGTGCGCAGCGACCATAATCAAAGTGATTACGAGAATTACCTGGAAGATACAACCGTTTTAACCAAAAACTATGGAGAATGAAACATCACCCAAGGTTTATGCTAGCAGTATAGGATTGATAGCGATATTGTATGACTGGGAGGGATAATAAATTTGTGGAATTAGGGAGAACAGGTCGTATGGTTTATAGTCGGTGCGGGATCCCTACGAGAAGCCATGGCAGCGCGAGCACGTGCGCACGCGTATGCGAGAGAGTGTGGGAAATGAGGAGACACAGACACGATGGTCTAGGGCTTGTACTCTCGAGCGTAATTTGCACGTGATACTACATCTTGCGCTATGTGTCTGACGTGTGCAACCAAGAATTTGTCTCCCTTATTTCTTAGCCGGGTTCAGATTCTATACTGCTTGTCAGAAGAATATGTGTTGCCGAGGATTCCACCCGCGGGGCAATTGGCAATTTTAATGTGTGGTGCAAGCTACCCCTTGACAACTTGGTGCAAGGCGACCGCTCTTGCACACGCGACGCAGTTTGCGTCTCTCTTGAGAACGCGCTCTCTAGTCATTCCCTGGTCTTGATTGGGCTTCGAAGCCACGCTTTTCAGCCGCCAATCCCGTTGAATTAAAGGTATGTTGCAAATCCGCGTGGGATCCGCTCTTCGCCAACATATGGTCCTCTGCACCTTTGGCAATGAGGCAGTAAAGCTGATCCTTACCGATACAAATACTGTAACTTGACTGATGCGATGAGGTAGATTTTTGACTATTGAGGCGTGTGCAACGCTGATTTCCGTACCGATACCCCTGATATTGCGTGGTTATGGCTTTCACGGGGGAACGGGCTTAAACTCACCCCATTTTGTCGAGAATTACAAATACTTGAAAGGACCGCTTCACGCTGTGAAACTGAGAATTATGTAACACTCCAGTGAAGTGTTATCTGTTGCGATGGTTGATAGCTGTATCAATGCAAAACAGTAAGTCTTGCAGATGTTTTCCTCCGTTTCTAAGCGAATACTTCTTGGACTGTGAAGAAAGCTCACTGGCAATTTTTGAGTTTGATTTTCAGGGTCTTTCTTTTGCACGGTGACGGCAGACCCAGAAGAGGATGGGAAAACGATATTCGAACTCATTGTATTGACTCCAAACTCACTCGTTACTGGCAAAAGAACTAAAAGACCCTTATTGATGGAAAAGACTCGGAAAATCATATGCAGTCTCACTACTGAACCTGAAGCCGTAGACATATTCATCACAGTATTTTACATGCTTGTAATAAACCGTCGAGTATGAATAAAGAATGAATGAATGAATGAATGAATGAATGAATGAATGAATGAATGAATGAATGAATGAATGAATGAATGAATGAATGAATTCTTTCGCACTAGATTGAATCCTAACGACGATTATTTCATACCAGTGCTTCACCTCTGCTTCGCAGAGGCTCGCACTGGCTCCTCTATCTATATATGCATTCCTCTTGCTCGCATGATGTCACTTTGAAACTCACTATGCGATGCTGACCATCATGAACGAATTGTAAACAACTACTCATTTTATGAGCTTTTCCATGTAGGAGCGTAAATTGGGAAGAGAAAGTTTTTGCGTAGAAGATCAAAAGAGAATGTCGGCCAGTTACTGAAGTTATTATTGCCGATTAGTTCTTACAAAAGATGGTTACTTTTGTCCCCTACATTTCTGAGCAGAAATCTGCGCAAAAAATTAGATGAAACCTTGACAAATTGATGATCTACGCAAACACTCCTTTTTGGCGCTGATTTTGCGTAAAAATAGATATTTTGCTCACTTTCTGGCACTTTCTGGACTTAAGCCTATGGTCTGCACATTTACTGTTAAGCAAATCCACAACTTCGCAAAAAGTACAATCATCGACCCACATTTGTCGGTCAAACGTCGCGTGGACCCGTTTGACGCCCAGTTTCTGAAGGTTCCAATTATCGGATCAGCGTGTGCTTTTGCAGTATTTACCTACATGCTGGTAGGGTGCCATGACCAAAATTTCAGCTCAGGTCCTTGACTACAACACGCTCTATGAATTTCGTGACAGACAGATATACACACACAGACAGACAAACAGACAGACGCTTAGCGCTTTATTTTTAAGTAATGATGGTTCTAGAAGAAAGTCTAAGCATTTCGAGCTCGCATCCAGTTTTATAGTCATCAAACCGTATTTGACTTACACACCAAAAAAGGAAGTTTGTGCAACGGTAAAGATTTCACAGTTTCTCTTTTTGCTGCCATTTCCTAGCACTAAACAAAGAAAACCATTTAATAGTTGATCGCTTTGAATAAGGAGTCTGTCCACTTCAATACTGCAGCTGTGCTCGGATTCCACAAGAATTACAAGCTCTCCGAATTGCCTTCAACCTTACCTGTTTTCGCAGTCGGCGGCGATTTGTGAGGATCGTTCGTTGATGGGTCCAAAAGATGTGAAACACATTACCCTAATGGTATTGCAGCAATCAAAGATTTGTTTCATTTCGTGGAAAGAAGGAAAACTTGATACATATTTACTCAAAAATGAGACATTTTTGTGCCAGTTTTTAGCTGTGCTCTAAAATTGTGACACAGTCTATAAATAGCCCCAGCAGAGTTCTACATAACTGACGGATACGAGTCCTCCGGCTCTATTCGTGCACGAGAAATTGCTGCACTAACAGGCCAAATTTTAAGTCAACCTTTCTTTCGATGCGCATGCTGGCGGCCCGAAATGAAGCTCTGAGTACCCAACAAATTAGGCTTACCTTGTAGACAAAATTGTCTTTGCCGAAATTTGCAGCTCTTAGAAAGGAGCGATGCAGTTTAAAAAATTTCTTGGAAATGCCCGGGAGCTATCTTCACAACCCAGTGTAACATTTCTAAATTAGCAGTTATGTATTAGCGACGGGACGAGGAGTGTATTAGGTTGTTGCATAAGTTCTGTCCTATTTTTTTGCCTTATGTTTGAGGCAGCTATTCTAAGAGAAATTCATTTCTAATGCGGTATTGTTAGTATCATTAGAAAGTGCTTTTTTGCGCTTTCTAATGCATATCAAATTTCAATAAATTTCTTAGTGTAAGGAGATTTCAGGCCTAAAATCTCCAAGTGGCCGAGGTACGTTCTCAACCTAGAAATAAATATGTTCTTGCGAGGAAATCTCCACAATGCGCTCTTCAGGTCAAGTTTTTAAATTGGTAACGGAATAAGGGTGTAATAGGCTAGCATAGGCATAAGTTCAGTTTCATGAAGAAAACGTCTTGCTAGTAGAATTTATCAAACATCAATTTCTGTATAGATGTTCCACAAGCTATAACTTTCTGTAAATGGAAGTAATCGACGACTTCAAAGTTGGACGTGCTAGCGTAAAGCAAGGGTTAGCAGAGACCATGCACCATTTTTTTTCGGCGCTCACGGCAACTGTAAAATTTTCGTAATTTGTAAATAGGCATACACATATGCGCTGAATCGAGGTCAAAAAGTGGCCAATTTTTTGTTCGGTCAAAAAATCTCTCGGCAAAGCAAACCCTATGGGCTCTTTTATTGTGCAAAATAATCTACGAAAAATTCTCTATTTATCCCTTGTTAGACAAGATGCCTATCAATTCTCATAAGGGAGCACTGCCATGTCAAATAAGAAAGGTTTGAAGAAAAAAGCTGTGAAGTTTTTGAAGTCTTGCTTCTTTCTTAACACGGACTTCCAAAGGTTTCAATATGTGTCTGATAGCCAAGGAATCGCTCAATAATAAAAATAGAGACTAAGATTTTGGGAAAAAGCTGACTTTGAAAGAAGTTATGACATTTTGAAGAAATCGGACAGAACTTATGCAACAACCTAATATTAGTAATTGGTATTAGCGATGGCAGTTTCCCCTTGCTAATACTGGCCATTGCACCTTAGGCCCGTATGCACGTACATCCCCGCTGGGGAGGGGAGAGGAGATCCCCTCCACTGAACCCCGCTATGACAGAGGGGAGGAGAGCGATCCCATCCCCTGCACTTACAGCGGGGATGGCGTGCTTGCGGTAGTCGCTTCTACCTCACGGCTACTACAAGAACTCGCCGAAAAGTTATTTTTGGTCAAATCTTGTGTGTACTAGAATGGCCTTTGAAACGAAATGAACAAAAATAGTAGCGTGCATTTGTCCCTTTCTCACTCTTCTCCTTCCACCCTTCCCACTTATCTCTCCCTCCTTCGATCTTTTGTTCTCCGTATTATTACTATTTTAAACTTCGTTATACTTGCTACGTGCTGTCAATGGTAATAATGCTGATTTTTGAAGTAGGGTGTTCTATTTCGCAGTAAATGTTAAGGTTTTCTTGCAATTATGTTGTGCCGATGTGCTTCGCAGCATTTTTAGTTTCCGTGATTTCCAGCGTTTGAGAGTTCGCGGTACTGTTTCGCTGCCTCAGATTTAGATTTGGTTTTGGAGGTATTGATCGAACGAACCCCAGTGGGGATCCCTTCCCTTCCCTTCCTCGTATGCACGAATGTAGCTAAACAACGCAGGGGAGGGGATCGACATCCCCTGCAGCGAAGTAGGGGTTCAACGGTGTAAGTCATGCCAGAGAAGCGAATATTCTGGTTCCAATCAGTTATTACAAAGCATTTCGTTCAATTTGATAAAAAAGGTTCTTTCAAAGCCGGGTTCCTCCCAGTGACTTGTAGCTTGCAATCTTATCTCTCTCTTCTATTTTCGGTTCTCGCGAAGAGATTCGAGCAATTATTTGCCAATTTCGAACGTCTGGAGGAGTTTTTGGTCATTTCCGAGATCTACGCAGTTTTTATATGACAAGATAGTTTTATCCATGTAGGCTAATCGAACACATTGTAACTATAATAGCATATGTTATGTTGCCCTTATCTTCTTATCCCGACATAAATTGCTTCGAAAAAAACGAAAAAATTAGCAGATTGGCCTATTTCTGAATAGAGATTCCCCCGGAGGAGTGATCCCCTCCCCAGTGTTCCCCTCGTGCATAGCAGGGATGACCGCTGGGAAATCATTCCCTTGAGTTAACGGACGATATATCGTAATAGCTGCAGCCTTTATGGAGAGCTGGTACAATTTGCAGCTTCCGTTATGTGTTAAAATACTGCTTTGAGTGCCCGCGCAGCACCCCCGTCCCCTTTTCGGCGGCACAACGTCTTCTACCCATTCCCGTGCAGAGACACCTTGACTTCTATATTTCAACATTTTTACGCTGAAATGGGGCAGCAAGAGCGAAAGTGGGCAGCATTCAAGAAAGCAGGGACATCGTGGGGGTGGAAAAAATCATTTTTGGTGCGCCGAGCGCAGTCACTGCATGCGCGCATTCAGCAACCCTAAATTATTGAAATTGAGGAGATGAAGATGAGTTGCAGTCAAAAGATGAAAATAAGAAAGAGTTTTTCATAGAAAATTTGGAAGCAAGGTGATTTCCCCTCTTGATCCCCTCTTGTGCATAAGAGGATTAACTTCCCCTCCCCACAAGGGATCCCTTGTCAGATATTGTCTTTGTGCATACGGGGGTTCGCGTGGGGAGGGGAGGGGATCCCCAGCGGGGATCATTTCAATGGTAAAACGCACATCCCCTCCCCGCGGGGATGTACGTGCATAGGGGCCTTACATAATTGACTGCTGACAAGTTACCACATGTCAAATAAATACGTATCAGGGGCCGGGCCTACATCACGCGATTTCATCGTCTCGCAATTCCAGCAAGACAACTGTTACGAGTCCATTGCATGCTGATCATTTTGCCATTCGGTCGTGAAGGCAAGGGACATACCTCACGCGATTTCAGTCGCCACGCGATCTGGCAATTTGCCGTGTGTCTTCAAATTCGATACTGGAAGACCTCAAATGCGCAGCATGTATAACTTTCGTAGGTTGATAAATGTCCCCTCTTCCGTAAATTC